AAAGTCCTTACTTTACTTTTCAAGTTGGTCTTCCTCCTCCAGTCATTTTGTTAATGTAATAAAAGAAAAATATAACTAATCATTATTCTTTCTGTTTTCTTTTGATTTCTAGATTATTATGTACGGAAACGAAATTCATTGAGAAAAATTCAATTGTTACTCACAAAATTTATTAAAACAACATTATGTCGTATGCATCGTTTCATATAAATTCGATTATAATTGTTTAAGAAGAAGAAGAAGAAGAAAGAAAAAGAGGTTCAGTGTAAAAGTGAGACAATCTAAACTAATTTTTAAATTTTGTTTTTACTAAAACAAAATCATTTTTGGATTTGAACACGTGTTGATATGTATGTTTGGTACATTTGAGGCACATTGATTTTGATAACATCAAAATTTTATTAAACTATAATAAAGATTACAAGATTATTTTGCTTTCTTTTTTTTTTATCATTATAGCTATCAAATTGAAAACAGTCTCTATTCTTATCTACAAACACCTCGCCTACAACCAACTGAATCGCTAATGGCTAATTCAACAAGAGCTACTTCTCTTTATCTTCCTGTATCGAATTATGGTAGTCAAAGTGAATTTAGTTTTTATTCAAATCCATCGGAAAAACCACCAGTAAACCCTCAAGTTTTACGATCATTGTCACCGGAAGATGTGCAAAAAATGAAATATAAAATTGCACTTGGTTAGAGAGAAAAAACGATTTACTATTTTCTTATGCTTTAATATATATATATTTTTTTTTTTTTGTTCTTTTTTCTTATAGACAAGCAAGTAGCTGAAAAACAGCAAAGAATCACTCGTGAATGGGAAAGGAAAATTGAACGAGACAAAAAATACGTAAGTAAACGTTTTTCTTTTTCCTTTTTGTATTTTTTTAAATTGATTTAAACTGAAGACAACAGCACTTTTGCAGCCTTGACGATTCGCATTTTTCTCTGCTTTTTTTTTCTTTCCTTCGTTTGTCTTTAAAAAAGAAAAAAATCTCTAAGGGAAACAAATATAAATACGTATATACATTCTTCACTACCTGTATAGGTTCAGCATCAACCATTTGGACGACACGAGCATACAACTGTTCTTAGTAAGAATTGCATTTTCTATAAATAAAATAATAATGATATTAATATAAAATTAGAAAAAGAAGAATTAGAAGAAATTTTAACAAAAGGTCGTGCTCCTTCACCCGTATTAGAAATGCCTCAGCAATATGTTCTTCATCATCCTCCACCACCGCCGCCAATACTATCACCATCATCACAGCCAGTACTACAACAACAGCAGCAACCGTTTATGACAGAACCATATATCCCCAATGATAGTAACCCGTCTAATGTGTTCGGTTCACCACGGCAACCAATGTATAATAATTATTCTCAATATCCTACTTATTCAACTACTCAACCTCAGGCACAATTACAGCCACCAAATAATTCTTCAATAAATACTAATACTACTACTACAAATAACAATAATAACAATAATCCTGATTTTCAACGATTTTATGGACCAGTAAGTTAATGTATACAATATTCTATATAGAAAAAAAATTTCGTTTAACTACTCATCTATTAGTAAAATCTATGATTATCATTTCCAAAATAAAAAAGATAAACACATCTAATCTAATCTAATCATAGAAATATTAGATTAGCCTACACATGGCACTTTAATATTAGAAATTCAGAAGCAGACAAGAACAGTTTTTTTTTTTAAATTTTCTTCACATCTAAAGAAATCATAAAATATTCTTTTTAATCAATGATATTTTTCTAATTCATTATAACAATCAAACTATCATGTCAATTAAATATTAATAAATCAGCTCTATATTCTATTCTAATACTAATAAGAATATATATGTTTTATTAATCTCACCGTAATCTACAAAAATTAGTGAAATCCTCAAAAGAATATCTCTTGTACTCTAACCAATTAATACAATCACGATATTCCCAAATGTTCTATATTGTCGACAATGAAAAAAGTTATAATCTCGCTCCAAAAAAAAAAACACACTGTTTTTTATTTCATCATATTAATTCATTTTATAAAATGATTCTAATTGATTTCTTTTATTGATTTTAGAATGGTAATTCTAATCCGCCGAATACAAATGTTACACAAGGAAGTATTGGTACTGCTCAACCAATTAAAGGAGATGCGCATGATCCTTTTCTTTTATTTGGTAAATTAAACGAAAATATTTACATGAAGTTTTTTTTAAATATTTTCAATTCTGTACATAGATCCTAATAAAGAAGCTCAAAATGTATTCAATACAATTCCTCAACAAGATTTATATGATCCATGGGGACGTCCAGGTGCTGGAGCACCATTAATTCATGCACCAACAGGACAAAAGTTTACAAGATATTCTGGTAGTTTACAAGAGAAATTGGTAATTTTTCTTGTTTGATAATTTTATATCTCTAAATATATACATATACGTATTTATTAGAATCATGTTGGTCCACTTGGTTTTTACGGTAAACAATACACAGGAAATATTGAAGAACAAAAGCGTGAACTTGAATTAGAACAAAGACGTCGTCAACAAGAAGAAATGGAACATCGATCTAATGTAAATATATTAGAAAAAGAAAAAACAAAACAAAAAAAATGTGTATTATATATTTGAATTTAATGCATACAAATATTAATCAATTTTGAATGTGTCGACCAATTTTATACAACTATGATTAATGAGGAAATGGCTTTAGATATTTCTGTTTAGATATTCGTGATTTTTTTGACTAAAGATATTACATAGTATTCTAATCAAAACCCTACAAGGATTTAGTTTTTAACTAACAAGAGAACCAACCGGGGTAACACTTCGCATTTGTGATAAGACCATCGTCATCAAGTAGAATCAGTTGAGATTAAAAGAAATTCAGAAGAATTCCTCTAGTCTCAATCGACTCTACACAATGGATGGAATCTCTTCTCAAATACGATGTATCATCCTAGACAGTTTCGGCATTAGTCAAAAACTAAATTCTTTTGAGGATTTTGGTTAGAACATGATGTAGTATCCATAAGCAAAAAATCATTGAAATCGACTAGGAGTATCTGAAAAGGTTCCCTCGTAAATTAATAATAATCTTCGACTTGAGAAATCAGTATCTATAAATCAAGTCTATCATTGATTGACATCGAAACAAATCTTTTTCTATTATAATATATATAGGCAGGTGATACGGCTGAATGGATTACTCAACTTGAAAGAACTCGTTATCCATTGAAATTACATTTACCAACAACAGAACCAACCCGGGAGGTATTTTTCATTCAAAAAAAAAAACCGAAGGGCACTTTCCAAATTATTTGTTCACCCATATCTATCAAGTGAAAAGTTTAGGTTTTTATTTTGTTATAAAATTATCGACACGTTCAATTTTATTTTACAAATTTTAAATAACCAATATAGTCCGGGTGGATGAATAATTTAGAAAACTAATTTTTATTTTTATGGTTTGTTTTTTCTTTATATTTAATATATAAACTTTTTATTAAAAGTTTACTGGTGCACGTACACGATATCGATCAGAAGAAAGTCGTTTATTACATGATGATCTCGTACAACAAGCCGAAGAACGTGCACGATTACAAAAACTTAATCGATATCATAATAGCATAGCTGAATTACAAGTAATTATTAAAATGTACTATTTTCGAATTTCTAAAATAAATTTTATAATTATTTTTAGCATTCTGAAGCCATGAATAATTGGTGGGGTAAAAGTGGGGGTGGTGCACCTTCATTTACACATCGACGACATAATGTTAATAATACATTTGAAAATCCACGACAAAAATGGGTAGAATTTATGTTCTAGTAGTATTTATTTATTTTCTTTTTTTTCTTATATATTAATTTTAGACAAGAAATCATCTTGGTCAATTAGTTATGGCTGATGATGAAGTACCAAGTCAAGTTAAAGTTCAAACAACAGATTATTTCAATCCAAAATCTAAACAATTATCAAATCACCGAAATTATTATCAAGTGGCCGATGATCAAGCATCATAAATCCATTTCAAATACAATTATTCTTTTTTTTTTTATTTTTAAATTTGATTTTATCCTTCTTTGTTTTTCGTTTTTCTTTTTACAATTTCACAAAATACAACAAAAAATACACAATTACAAATAAATGTTTTGTTCTTAAGGCAAACTTTTCCATTCTCCTCGACACATTGGACATAATTTATTTGTTTGTTGAGAATTAATCCATTTCATAATGCAATGTTCATGAAAACAATGTCGACATTCACCATGTAATACTGGACATTGATCACCTGGATAACGACATTCCGAACATGATGCATCAAACGGCATTCGACATATTCCACATGAATCATCATTTGTTACCCATTTCCATACGGCAACACCATTAAATTCTTTTAAACGTATTCGCATCTAGAATAAATAATCATTTATATTAAAATATTATTATTATTTTGTTTTTTTTATTCATTAATAACAATAATGTATTCTATGAAGGACAGTGTTTCATCAAGAGCAATACTCGAACTTGTCTAAAGTGTCATAAAAATTAAAAAAAAAACAGAATTTACGCTTTTATCTTATTCATAAATGATGGATTACTTATTATAGTATCTTCTATTATCGTAAGAAACATAAAATCCTTTATGATTCTTTAATTGAAGAAGAAAAAAAAATGAGGATAATTATATCAGTTTGTTTACATCTGATCATAAGTTTCATCTGACAAAAAAAAGAAAGACAAAATACAACAAAAAAAAAAAAGAAATATCAAATCCAAGATTCTAAACAAACCATACAAAAAACATAAGGTATCGACAAGCTTAAAAAAGAAAACTACTCAACTGCACAATGCACACACATAAAGAATATGTACAGAGAAAAGTAATTTCTCTTTCAATATGAAACTTTTATGACTGACTAAATACGAGACAAATAAAAAATAAGAAGGAAAAATATACGTATATCGTGCAGTTAACGTTTTTTCTGTTGTTGCTGTTGTTGTTGCTCTTGCTCACGTTGACGTCGAATAGCAAGAGCAGCTAAACGTTTTTGTTCGATTTCAGCTTCAGTACATTGTGTTTTATTTTTATTTACACTAGCTGAATCATATCGAACTCTTGGTGAATTTATTTTTATTGTATTTTTACTAGCTATCGGTGATGATAATGGTCCAGTATGTGCTCGTTGTAAAGTTGAATTTGATAATCGATTTTGATTAAGATTTGGTTGACTAGATAGTTCAATTTTTGTTGCATTATGAACTAATGATTGATTTTCTTTTGTTAATATAGCTGATGATCGACGTGTAGCATCAAGACGTGTTAAATTATCATCATCGATACTTGATGTTGTCATTAATATTGAATCATTATCTTCGAGTGTTTTTTCTGATGGTAATTCAGTTGGAAATTGACTTAATAATTGTTCAAAATCAGCATCATCATCATCCCAAACAATAGTAGAAGTAACTGGTGGTAAAGAAACAGATTCTACGGTTGCTTAAAAAAAAAGAAAAAAAAAAAGTCACATTCATACAGTAGTGAAGAAAATTTCTTTCTTCTATCCAGCAGGTCTTAGCTTCCATAGATGTAGAAAGTCGTCCAGTTGACGGCTCTGATCTATATTATTAGTAAATTATGTATACACACAAATTTTCAAATCTCTAGTATTTATAGTAGCTGAGATCTGTTACGGATGGGAAGGGGGATGAGACTTCTGTCCTCTACTGTATGTAATAGAAGACAATAAACAAATAAAATTTTTATTTATTTACTCTGCGCAGCATTCGTTGATTCAAGTACATTAACAATTGTTGTTGTATCTGTAATTTTCTTTGTTCGTGAATGTACAGCTGGTGATGACATTGTTCGAATTTTACTAGGTGTTTTTTTACTTGTTGTCGATGGTAAATCCCAATCATCCCAAAGTGCTTCATCAATAATATCTGTATCAATATTAGCATTATTATTGGTTGTTATACATTGATCAGATGATGATGATGACGATGATGATGGTGGAATAAATTTTAAATAACTATCATGACTTATATAACGTGATATAGCTGATGGAGACGAATGTTGTTCGTATGTTGATGTAGGAGATGAAGAACGAATACGTTTTGGCATTGGCATTTCACTAAAATAAATAAAAGCAAAGACAAAAGGAAATAATTTAATTATAAAATAAATATTATTTTAAGAAATTTTACATCGGATTTCCATCATTAGTTGATTCTCGTTTAAATGTTTCAGTAAATTCAATCATTGTACGATATGCATTATCAACATTCTCTTTTGAGCTTGTCAATGCTGTATGACTGATAAGAATATTAAAAAAAAACAAAGAAATAACAAGAAAGATTATTTTCATATTTATTTAAAGAAGATAAAAATAAAAAACAATACTTTTTAAGATTATTTAATCGAACTGGTCGTTGTGCTGTATGATTATTCATTACCGCAGATTGACATATACTGAAGACACGAGAAGTTATTCTATCGGGTGTTTTTCGTGGCTATAAAAATATGTTTTACGTTTGTATAGAAAGAATTCATTTATCTAATAAACATACTGGATGTATTTTGGGTTTTGATCGTGGTGGACATGCTATAAAAAAAAACCAAAAGGAAAAATAAATTCATCCGAAATCAATATTTTAAATACTAAGATACACATTCGAACTTTATGCTGGTTACTAATACTTGTGTTTTATTTAGATTTTCTCTTTGAGAAGGACGACTTAAAGTTCTTTGAGAGATAACACCTATTTTTGGAAGCACAGACATACAATAACCGCAAATCCCTGGAGGAACACTGCCATCTTAACCCGATAAAATATTAATTTACAAGGTTCAAAAAAACCAATGAAGATATCATAATTATTGATCTTGTGTCTTTTTTAAAATTTTTCTCTTGTCATATAAATCTTATTCATTTGAACTATAGTTTTATATTATTATACTGAATATATTTTTGTATTGATGCAAAAAAAATTTATAAACCTACGTTTATTCAATAATGCTGTACGCTCAGTATCTGATATATCCTGCCAACTGACGGTAACGTCGTTAATATTCATATCTAGAGTGCAAATATCAATCAGTTATTGCATTGTACATCATTGCATGTAAACGCTATAAATGTATAAAAGATAGATTATTCTCCGATAAAACGAAAAAGAAAACCAAAACAAATCATCATTCTAAAAGAAAAATTCAGGAGAAAAAGTTCGACGAACCTGCTTGTTTTTGTTTTCTAGAAAAAGTAGAGAAAAGAACAGACGAGTATCATTTATATATATATATGTACATATATATCCAAAGAATTAGATCACGCAAAATTTCGTTTTTGCTTTGCTACGTATTTGTTAAGCCAATAATGAGAAAAAAAAATACGTACGAATACATCTGTTGATAAGGATCAAATACAAAAAAAAATCGAACAAACAAACAAACATTCAACAACAAATAAACAAAGAAAATGAACTGATCAAGATGGAGGATAATGATGACCATAATGAGGGTGAGGTGGTGGTGGTCCATAGTTCTGTGGTGGATGACCATAACCATATGGTCCAGGTGGAGGTAATGGTCCATTAAATCTTGGCGGTTGAGAAAGATGTCGTGGTGGAAGAGGACCATATGATGCTGGTGGTGGTGGCGGCGGTGGACGCATATCCGGCGGATAATTTGTTCGTGGACCATAATAAGGTGGTGTATGAGGATTATCATATGGTGGATATTGTTGTTGATGTGGTGGCATTGGATAATGTTGTACAGGTAGATGAGGAGGACGCTGCCAATTTGATGGTGGTGGATACATATGTGGAGGTGGTGAAGGATTAATATCGACTAAAGGCATAATTTTTTGTTGATTAATTGTTGGTATAGGTAATGATTGATTATTACTAATTGATGAAAGTGTTTTCGATTTTTGATCGAGTTGAATACGAATAGGATGTTGTTGAGATGATGGTGGCATTGGTGTGATTGGTGTAACAAGTGAATTTGATACTGATGATGATGATGATGATGATGGTGTTGTTTTTGGTATTGTTATTGATGCAGATGTTGATGTTATTGTTGTGGTTGTTGTTGGTGCTGTTGTTGTTGTTGATGATGATAATGATGATGATGATGATGATGATGGTCGAGCAGATACAGCAGCAATAGCAGCAGCAGCAGCTTGTCCAATAGTATGTGCTGTTTGTGGTGTAGCTGATGAAGCTGATGCAGCAAGTGCAGCTTGTAAACGTCGAGTATTATATGATAAACGTGGTTGATTATTAGATGAATCTGCGATTTCATCACTTTGTTGTCTTGTAACATAATTTTTTGCACGTGTTAAAATTTCTTGCATTTGTTCAGTTGTTAATGGTATATGACGACTTAACGGTGTTGATAATGATAATTGACTAGTTGAATGAGGATTACGTTGATTACGTTGTTGTTGTGTTAATGCTAATTGACGACGAATTAATTCTTGTGTTAAAGCAATATCTTGTTGTTGACTTTCAGTTAATGGTGTATCGGATGATGTCAAACGTGTTTTAGATTTATTTCGTTGTTCATTATCAAAATCAGATTCAAGTGAACTTAATTGTATTGGTTTTGTTGCTTGTGTTAACACTGGACGAAATCTTGTTGATGAAATATTTTGTTGTTGTTGTTGTTGTTGTTCTTTAGTTGCTTTCGATGTTGTTGTTCCTTGTTTATTTAAACCATCAACCGTTGTTGTTGATGGAACAACTTGTGTTTCACTTGCAACTTTTGGCGGAAGAGAATTTGTTGAATTCGATGATGTTGTTTGATTTCCTTCAGCAAATATATGTTGATAAGCTTGCATAAAATTTGGATTTGAAAGTACTTGTTGTTGAACATGAGAATAAAGACTTGGATTAACAAGCATTGCCATAACAAGAGCTGGATCAAGTATTGTTGATAATGGATGATTAGCTGCTGCTGCTGAAGTTGCAGATGATGATGATGATGTTGTTGTTGATGATGATTGTTGTTGAGATGTAGATGACGGTGCTAAAGATGGTTCTGAAGAGTTTGATATAGAATTTTCATATTTAGCTAAAAATGAAATGAACAAATTGAATTAATAAAAAAAAATATTCTAAAAATATATATATATTTACCTTTAAGTGTTTTAGCATGTTTACTTATTTTATTTCTCATTTTTTTAAATTTTTTTTCAATTTCAGCATTTGTTTCACCATTAAGTATTTGTGCTTGTAATTTATTTCTTTGTTTTATTAATTGTCGAAGTTCATTTGTCATCCTATAATTAGGACAAAAAAAAAAAAAGATTAACATTTTGTTTTTCTAATAAAATTTACCAAGGTTTTTCATTTAAGGATGATTTTGTTATATCTTTTAAACCATCATCATTTAATTTTGTTTTTTTTCTTATTTGTTTATCATTATCATCATCGGATAACATATGTTTAGTTAATTTACCATTTAAATCTATTGTATTTTCATCATCACTTTCAATTTCTCCATCTTCAGTTTCAACATGTGTTTGTAATGTTGTTAAATAATCTTGATCATTATCATCAATTAAATGACGATATAATAATGATGATGATATATTATTATTTAAACGTAAACGACGTTTTATTTCTTCAATACAACTAACATTTGAAAAAAAATTTGGTTGTGGTTTATGACAATGAACACGTACACGACCAAAATTTGTTGTTAAATATTCACGATATGAATTATTATTATCATCATCAAGATGAAATAATTTAATAGGACGTATTAATTTCATAACACTCATATCAATAATACTTTCTGATGGTGGTGTTTTTGAACGAAATAATATTGTTGATTTTGATGGATTTAAAGCAAGATTATCAACAATTTTTTTTAAACGTTTTGGTTCAATTGGTGATGTTAATTTTATATTTTCATCATCTGAACTATCACCAAGTTCACCATCTTCACGTTTATCATTATCACCGGTTTTTGCTAGAAGAATTGAAAAATTAATTTCTTGAAAACAAACAAAAAAAAAATCAATATAACTATTTACCACTGTTTCTTTTCATTTGTGCTTCTTTTTCTTTTTCAGCAGCTGCTTGTCTTTGTGCTCGTAATTTTTCTCTTTCTTGTGCACCTGCTTTTTTAATACGATCAAGTTCTAATTTAAGTGCATGATCTTTATCTTTAGAAAATTTTATTGGTATTTGATTATTTGTTTTATCCGATGGTAAATGATTTGTTTTATTTGGTTTTGGTACAAGACGATTATCAAATGATGGATCACGTTGTTCATCTGGACGATCAAGATCTTGATAAGAAATCATATTTCGATTATTTTCATGTTGTTGTTGCTGTTGTTGTTGTTGTTGTCGACGACGTTTATGTGTTTTTGATGGTGATAATGTATTTATTGTAAGAGATTCATCATTATTACTATTTGATGAAAGATGTTGTCGAACAAGTTTATCTTCATCTTCATGTGGTTCAAGAAATGGAATTTGATCAGCATTAGCAATACGCATTAATTCATATGTTGTAGAATTTGGTGGTACATAAGTTATTGGAGTTTGAGAATTTGGATTGAATTGCGGATGATGAGGTGGCAATAATGGTGGAGGCGATGGTGAATGATATGTATTACCATGTGGATGCCATGGACCATTAGGACGTAGTAATGGTAAAGGACCAGGACGATAATTTGGATTATTTTGCCATTGATGTGGTGGTGTACCTGGTGGTAATAATGGTTTTTGTGGTGGATAATTTTGTTGTGGTGGCGGTTGTTGTTGTTGTTGTCGACGAACGTAATCACGACCCTAGAAGAAATAAATAAATTGTTTTGTATTTTAGAAGATTTATTTAATGAAGTAGAGAGAGCAACAAAAAAGAAAATATTAATTTGTTATGCATGGCATTACCCCGAAAAAAACACCGCCATCATTCGGTGCCGGCATGAGACGCTGGGGTGGTCGAAGTGGTGGAACCGGCAGTGGATGGCGCAGGCCTATATAATTAGTACATATAAAAAAAAATAGAATCAAACTAACTGTTCTATGGGATATATATCGTTTCGCATTGTATCATACCTGGTCTCATTAGACCGTGAACAGATGATAATTATAGACACGAAAAAAAAAAACACAGAATACTAATTCTACTCAAACAAGTACTCGATTTGATAATTACAAAACGAACGTTACTCGAAGAATATACGTATACATAGAAGAAAGGAATTTATTATCAAATTGAAGATTTAATTGCCATATTCGATGATACATTGCCTCAATTTCCGACGATTTTTAGAAAAAAAGTAAACATTACACATTTTTCAAGAGAATTTAGAACTTTATTTTAGTTTTTTTCAAAGAAGTATTTTTTTTGACACTGATTTCTTTTTTTTTTTAAAGTATTTTACAAAACAATAGAGGACATCATGGTGTTATCAAACGTTCAGTTGCGA